GAGAGAAAGAGAGAGAGAGAGAGGGAAAATTATAAATGATAAGAGAGGAGAGAGAGAGAGAAACGGAGAGACATAACAAACTGATATGAGAGATAGAGGAGAGAAGAGAGAGAAAGAGAGAGAGAGAGCATAGTATTGACATGAGAGATTGAAGAAAAAGAGAGAGAGAGAAACAAAACAAACTGATATGAGAAATAGAGGAGAGAAGAGAGAGAAAGAGATAGAGAAAAAAGTAATGACATGAGAAATAGAAGAAGCAGAGAGAGAAAGAGAGAGAGAGAAAGTGAGAGAGAGAAATTAAAAAAAGATATGAGAGGAGAGAGAGAGAGAGGGAGAGACATAACAAACTGATATGAGAGATAGAGGAGAGAACAGAGAGAAAGAGAGGAGATAGAGAGTGAAAAGAATTGACTTGAGAGATAGAAGAAAGAGAGAGAGAGAGAGAGAATGAGAGAGAGAGAAAGAGAGAGAGAAAGAGAGAGTGCCAGAGTTGAAGAGAGAGAGAGAGAGAGAGAAAATAAAATGAAATGAGAGATAGAAGAAATGAGTGAGAAAGAGAGATATGATAGGGGAGAGAAGGAGAGAGAGAAATTAAAAAAGGTATGAGAGATAGATGAGAGGAGAGAAAGAGGGAGACAAAAAAGTATTGATATGAGAGATAGAAGAAAACACACACACACACACTCAGAGAGAGAGAGAGAGAGAGAGAAAGATGAAGTGAGTGAGAAAAAAAGGATATGAGATATAAGAAGGGGATGGAAAGAGAGAGATGGAAAGAGACAAAATAACCTGATATGAGAGATAGAAGAAAGGAGAGAGAGAGAGACAGAGAAAAAGAGAGGGAAAAATTGAAAGATAAGAGAGATGAAAAGACAAGAGAAAGAGAGAAAGAGAATGAATTTTTTTTGATAGATAAAAAAAGGAATCAAAGAGAGAGAGAGAGAGAGAGAAAACAAACTGATATGAGAGATAGAGGAGAGGAGAAAGAGAGAGCGAGAGAGAGAGAGAGAGAGAGAAATTAAAAAACATTATGAGAGGAGAGAGAGAGGGAGAGACATAACAAATTGATATGAGTGATAGAGGAAAAAAGAGAGGGAAAGAGAGTTAGTGAGACGGAAAAAAGTAATGACATGAGAGATAGAAGAAAAAAAGAGAGAGAACGAGAGAGAGCGCATGAGATGAAGAGAGAGAGAGAGAGAAAATAAAATGCAATGAGAGATAGAAGAAATGGGTGACCGAGAGATGGAAAAGGAGAGAGAAAAAATTAAGTAATATTAGTGATAAAAATTGGGAGATAAAGAGAGAAAGAAATTAAAAAAAGATATGAAAGATAAATGAAAGGAGAGAGAGAGACGGAGACAAAAAAATTAATGATATGAAACATAGACGAAATGCACACACACTCAGTGAGAGAGAGAGAGATATATAAGGAGAGATGAAGAGAATGAGAGAAAAAAAAGATATGAGAGATAAAAAAAGGGGATAGAAAGAGAAGGGTAGAAAGAGAAGGATAGAAAGAGAAATTAAAAAATGACTTGAGAGATAGAAGAAAGGAGAGAAAGAGAGAAAAATAAAAGATAAGAGAGACAAAAGACGAAAGAAAAGGAGAGAGAAAAAAAAATGTTTTATGACGAAACAAAAGAGGGGAGTCAAAGAGAAAGAGAGAGAGAGAGAGGGAGAAACATAATAAATTGATATGAGAGATGAAATAGAGGAGAGAAGAGAGAAAAAAGAGTGAAAAAAAGGAATGTCGTGAGAGATAAAAAATCAGAGAGACACACACACACACACAGAGAAAAAGTGAGAGAGAGAGGCAGAGTGAAAGAGAGAGCAGGAGATGAAAAAGAGAAGGAGAGAGAAATATAAAATGATAAAAGAGATAGAGGAGAGCAGAGAGGGAAAGGGAGAGAAAAAGTAATGATATGAAAGATAGAAGAAAACACACACACACACTCAGAGAAGAGAGAGAGAGAGAGAGAGAGAGAGAGAGAGAGAAAGAAAGAGAGAGAACGAAAGTGAGAGAGAGAGAGATGAAGAGAGTGAGAAAAAAAACGTTATGAGAGATAAAAAGGGGATACAAAGAGAGAGAGAGAGAGAGAGAGAGAGAGAAAGGTAGAAAGAGAAATAATAAAATGATATGAGAGATAGAAGAAAGGAGAGAGAGATAGAGAGAAAGAGAGAGAAAAAAAGTGATGAGAGAGATAAAAGGACGAAGAAACGGAGAGGGAGAATTGTTGTTTTTTATATGTTAGATAAAAGAGGGAAGTCAAAGAGAGAGAGAGAGAGAGAGAGAGGAGAGAAAGAGAGACCGAGATTTAAAGGGTAGAAGAGAGGGAAAGAGAGAGAAAAAATGTAATGACATGAGAGATAGAAGAAAGTAGAGAGACACACACAGAGAGAAAAAGAGAGAAGGGTAGAGAGAGAGAGAGCGCGAGAGCGAGAAAAGAGACAGAGAGGAGAAAAACAAGAGAGAGAAGAGAAGGAGAGAGAGAGAGAGAGAGAGGGAGATGGAGAGAGAGAGAAATAGGTGATATGAGAGATAAAAGAAGGATAGAAAGAGAGAGAGGGAGAGAGAGAGAGAGAGAGAACTAGAGGAGAGCCAGTTAGAGCTGAAGAGAGAGAGAGAGAGAGAGAGAGAGATAAGAGAGATAAAAAGACGAAAGGAAGGAGAGAGAGATTTTTTTCTCAGAGATGTCGATCGAGAGAAAGAGAGAGAGAGAGAGAGAGAGAGAGAGAAAAAGAGAGAAAGAGAGACATAATAAAATGATATGAGAGATGAAGGAGAGGAGAGAGAGAAAGAGAGAGCGCGAGAGGAGAAAAAAATGTAATGACATGAGAAATAGAAGAAGCAGAGAGAGAAAGAGAGAGAGATAAATTAAAATATGATATGAGAGGAGAGAGAAAGGGAGAGACAGATTAAATTGATATGAGAGATAAAGGAGAAAAGAGAGATAAAGAGAGAGAGAGAGAGAGAGAGAGAGAGAAATTAAAAAACGATATCAAAGGAGAGAGAGAGGGAGAGACATAACAAATTGATATGAGAGATAGAGGAGAGAAGAGAGGAGAAAGAGAGTTAGTGAGAGGGAAAAAAAGTAATGACATGAGAGATAGAAGAAAGAGAGAGAGAGAGAGAGAGAGAGAGAGAGAGAGAATGAGAGAGAGAGAGAGCCAGAGATGAAGAGAGAGAGAGAGAGAGAGAGAGAGAGAGAGAAAGAAAATAAAATGCAATGAGAGATAGAAGAAATGAGTGACCGAGGGGATGGAAAAGGAAGAGAGAAAAAAGTAAATCATTTGAGTGATTAAAAAAGGTGAGGAAGGATAGAGAGAGAGAGAGAGATACAGAGTGAAAG